GAGCACTGGAGTGTGGACTGGCCTGGGCACTGATCAAGCCTCTACTGAGCAGAGGATCTGAGCTGCTTGGCCCTCGGTGGCCCAGGGTTGCTCTTCTCAGGCTGGGGCACAGATGAGATGTTGGTCTCATAGCCATGGGGTGGCACCGGGAGAGGAGAGTTTCTGTGGTAACTCCACACCCGGCCAAGGATCTGTGTGTCCCTTGAGTTCATAGGGATCATAGGGATGCGTAATAGTCCCCCTGTCCCAGGGGAATGGCTGCAGCTCAAAACTCTGAGTCCTAAGAGCTGCCGCTTAGACACGTGGGAAGCTAGCGGCTGCAGAGGAGCCCTCAGGACCTGGTCGGAGAGAGCCCTCAGCAAACTGACTGGCCCCTGCAGCCCCTTTGCTCTCCCTCAGCGTCTGCATCCTGCAGCACATGTTGGGGTGGGCGGGGTGACCTGCTTGGACAGTTGAAAGCACGAGTGATCTATCATGCTTAAACCCCTTCCTCCCCTCGGTCCTCAGTGTGGGCACTAGGCCTGAAATCTAGTCACCTTTCACTGTCCTTCCCTTGTCTCCGACCCAGTAGGGGCCCAGGAGTAATTCCCTAAAGGAAGCAAGGCTCCTTGTGCTCTGAATGGCATTGTAGGTGTCTGAGTCTGGGTGTCCGAGCCTGAGTCTGCAGGGGTGTGTGTCCGTGTCTGGGGGAGCACGCTGGGTAGGGGAGGCTGTAGTTGTGGCAGTTGCTGTGATGTCAACAACAGTGGACTTGGAGTCAGGAGGCTTGGGCTTGGCTGCCTACTTGAACTTGAGCAAGCCACCTAGCCTCTCTGAGCCTGTTTTCATGGTTGTAAAATGAAGATAGTGCTGTAGACGGAACAATGGTCTCCCAAAGATGTCCATTTCCTAATCCCCAGACCCGTGAATGTTACTGTGCATGGTCAGGGGGACTTTGCAGACGTGACTAAGCATAAACCAAAACCAAATCCATTGCCATCCAGTTAATTCCAACTCATAGCAACCCCATAGGACACAGTAGAACCGCCCTTAGGGTTTCCAAGTCTATAAATCTTTATGTAAGCAGACTGCCCCATCTTTCTCCCGTGGAGCCACTGGTGGGTTCAAACTGCAGAGCTTTTGGTTAGCGGATGAGTGCTTTAACTACTGCCCCACCAGGACTCTGTGACTAAGGTTAAGGACCTTGGAATGGGGAGGCTATCCTGGATTATTCGGGTGGGCCATCGAATCACCTGAGTCCTTGAAAGTGGAAAATGAGGGCGGAAGAGTGGGTCAGAGAGATGTGATGTGAGGACTTGGCCCACCGTTGCTGGCTTTGAAGCTGAGGGAAGGGGCCTGCGAGCCAAGAGAGCTGGGAACGACCCTCAGCTTATGGCCAGAGGAAAATGCGGGCCCCGGACCTATGGCCACGAGGCACCGAAAGCTGCCAACAACCCGGAGGAGCAGGCGGGCGATTCTCCCTCAGCCTCAGGCAGGGACGCAGCCTGCTGTCACCCGGAGTGCAGTCCGCTGAGAGCCACACCAGACCTCTGACCTGCACAGCTGTGAGGTAAGACATTTGGGGGGTGTTTCTGTTGTTTTTGTTCATTGTTGTACTTTAAGTGAAAGTTTACATTTCAAGTTAGTCTCTCATACAGAAATTTATACAAACATCGTTATGTGACTCTAATTGCTCTCCCTGTACTGTGACAGCACACTCCTCCTTTCCACCCCTGATTTCCCATGTCCATTCAACCAGCTCCTGACCCTCTCTGCCTCCCATCTCACCTCCAGACAGAAGCTGCCCATTTAGTCTCATGTATCTACTTGAGCTAAGAAGCACACTCTTAACAAGAATCATTTTATGTTCCACAGTCCAGTCCAATCTTTCTCGGAAGACTTGGCCTTGGAAATTGTTTTAGTTCTGGGCTGATAGAGAATCCGGGGGCCATGCTTTCCAGGGTTCCCATTTGGGTTGTTTTAAGCCACCAGGTCTGTGATTTGTTACTGCAGCAATAAGTAAGCTAATGCATCTTCCTCCTGGTGCTCACAGGAGGGAGGGGTGGGGAAGGTGCATTGGAATGTAAGGTATTTACTGGAGGATGGTGCCCCAACAAGGAATGGGTGGTGTGAGCTTGTGGGGGGTGGGGAGGACTCCCTTTGCTATCTCTACCCCTTCTTCAGGAGGCCTGGTGGAGCAATGGTTAAGCAGTCGGCTGCTAACCAAAAGGTCAGTGGTTCAAATCCACCCAGTGGCTCCGTGGGAGAAAGACCTGGCGATCTGCTCCCGTAAAGATTACAGTCTAGGAAACCCTATGGGGCAGTTCTACTCTGCCATATAGGGTCACTATTCGTCGGAATACTCGAAGGCATGCAACAACAACCCCTTCTTTACTTTCTGCCTCAGGTGGCCCTCATCCTTCAGACAACTGTCACACCAAGCTGGCAGCCCCAGAATACAGACTCAGCTCAGCTTCATCACCTGGCCTCTGCAGTCGGCAAAGCCTCCTA